AACTGTTTGTGGTGTTAAATAGGCCAGTACTACTGTCGGTCATAAGGGTGGTACTTGAAGAGCCATATATTTTATAAGGTGGTACTCACTGTGAAAAGTTTGAGAACCACTGGCTTAGAGTACTAATGAGGTGGAACCAGGTAATGTTCCACGGCACACCTGATCATTTCTCATGGCACAACAAGTGGTTGGGAAACACTGATCTACAACACTGACTTTAGCTCATTAGCCAACTAGCAGTCAAAGCTGTTTAAAGCCCAGAGAAAAGCAGGCAGCTAATTATAGTATTTATGAATACTGCGATTTATCCAGTGTTCTGTCAAGTCAAAGAAGAATGTGCCTATATTAAAATAAACATAATTTACTTACTGTCTGTCATCTGTATGCCGAACTGATAGCTCCTATTGACATGGTGAAATTATTGTATGCGAATTAATGCAATGTATGCTACTCTGAGTTGTATGCTAAAATGACTGAACACCAGCCTCTCACGGTTAAAACTATCATAAACAATAAAATGAAAAAAAAATTGTATTATTGGCTAGAATGGAAAGATTAAGTCATATTAAACTTAAATCATGATTATTTTCAAAAAGAGACAGCAAAATATTCCAGACTTATCTGGCAGATCCAGTTAACAAAGATATTAACAATTATTTCTAAATAAAAACACTGAGTCTTTTGAAAAACGTTATTTTAATAAAAGCTTTAATATTTAGCACTAAAATGAAGCCTTTCAGTGCAATGGCTGGCCTCCCTCTTTTGCCTCCTTTTGGGGTTTGCTACCGCAATGCAATATTTAAGAAATACAATACCTGTAGATAACTAACAGAGAAAATTCCTTCACATTTATACAGTACACTGTACTGTATTTTTACAGAATGTCATTTTACAATGAATTAATGACACATTATGCTGAAGTAAAAACAAAACCAAAAAAGCCTGGAGTAGAAATGAATAAGCAGCTGCCATACAGTACTCAGCCCCTTGCATCCTGCTAGAAGCAAAAATGACTCCTGTGACAAGCAGTGCAGTGTTGTTTCAACAACATTAAAATACGAAGCAGTTATAATAAAAATGACCTGGCAGATAGACATATTACCTTTAGCTGTTTACCTTTGCAGTTATCTGATTTTTACCTAAATTAATTGCCTATAAGTTTTTTTTATTCAGGTAGAAGCTGGTGGTTTAATAATAACAAGATAATTCCATTGTGAGAGCTAGTATGAAAATTTTATGAGTGCAGCTTGTCTGTAAAATGAATAGACTTTTCTAGACAGGCTGGTTTTATTTCCTTTTGTTTTATCTCTCTTGCCTCTTTCTTAGGTGGAGAGATGGACTGGCTCTTTCCCATC